GCTATTTTGCTACTAAGTTCTAATAGGCCGATCTCACTTAAAATTGGTCTAGGAATGATCAGCTCATGGTCCTGACAAAGTTAAGTTAACATTATACTATTTTTTACTCAAATTGGTACATATTTCAACAACAAAAATAAATACTGTAGACTCAGGTGACCGTTAAGGCCCATGGGCCTCTTGTTACTGATTGACATGAACACAGGGTTCAGATTTCATTTTACCTGATTGACATGAACACTGGGTTCAAATTTTATTTTACCTAATTGACATGTACACAAGGGGTTTAAATTTCATTTGAGCTGATTGACATGAACACAGGGGTTCAGATTTCATTTGAGCTGATTGACATGTACATGGGTTCAGATTTCATTTTAACTGATTGACATGAACACAGGGTTCAGATTTCATTTTAATTAATTGACATGTACACATGGGTTCAGATTTCATTTTGACTGATTGACATGTACACAGGGGTTCAGATTTCATTTTTACATTTACATTTTACATTATTCTGTTTATAGGGAGACAAATCTCAAAGTGAGACAAGCTCTACCGGAAACTGCTGAACTTGAGAATGACATGGAGAAGCTAACAGAATTTAATGGTGAATTTTGTGATGCTGCTATATATGTATTAGCTTTGATGTGTGTTTCTGTATGGCTAGTGTCAAAAAAGAAGGAAATCAAAATAACTATTTTGTGTAGTATATATGTAAATGTTAAGTTTGGTTTAGCCAGGTAAGCAAATTCTAAACTTGGATAAATGATGCCCCCACTACAAATATAAAATCTGGATATTTAGTTGGATTCGGAAACTGTTTTTGATTTGATGAAGTTATATTTTTAGCCCCAATTGTGTTTAAAAAGTAATATTTGGAGGGAAAATTTTGACGATGTACATGTTTTTCTACTTTTAGCTGAAATCGTGTGTGAAGCGCCTAACAACAAACTGAGTAAATACGAAGGCACGATGAAATGGAACAACCAAACTTTCTCTCTAGACAACGATAAGATGCTGCTCCGCGGTTGTGTGCTTCGTAACACACAATGGTGCTATGGTTTGGTCATATTCGCTGGTCTAGACTCGAAATTAATGATGAACAGTGGGAAATCTATCTTCAAAAGAACACACATTGACCGTCTCCTTAATATCCTCATCATAGGTGTAAGTCCAGCCAGGTTTTTAGTATTCTGCTTAAAAAATTCTCAAGTCAGGTACTTGCCAACCTTTTGAAATGATTCCACATTCTCAAAATTAAAAACATAAAAATAATGTGTCATTTTCATGGCCTAGGGACAAAATAGTCCTTTAAAAAGACATAGTGTGAGGGTTACTTTGATATGAAATCATTAGATTGTAAAATTTAGGACTTTTATAGTTTATCAAAAATGGCAAGTATGAAAATATCAGATTTGTAAAAATGGGTATTTTTCAATAAAAAAATATAAATCTGTAAGGAAATAAAGAAAACAAATACTGAGTTTTTAAAATGTCAGTTTTTGATTTGTTTTAATATCTTGACTAAAACATTGGTTTGGTTGACTAAAGCATGTTAAGTGACTTAATTCAATTTAATCTGTTATATCTTACCACGAGGATTGTTGCATTTTTACTGTCTTTGTTTCTTTTTTGTAGATTTTTATATTTTTACTCTCATTATGCCTGGCCATGACAATAGCTTGTGGTGTATGGGAGACAGCTACGGGCTATCATTTCCAGAGTTATCTCCCCTGGGAGTCCTATGTTCCTGGCTCCCCTGACAAGTCAGGAACTGTAGCTGAGGGCGCCACTGTTATATCACTGCTGATATTTTTTTCATCCATCATCATCTTTAATACTGTTGTGCCCATCTCCTTATATGTCAGGTAAGTCTGTTTGTTTGTCTGTTAAATCGCTGTATGTCAGGTAAATCTCTGCATGTCTTTGTATGTCAGGTAAATTTTTGTATGTCAGGTAAATCTCTGTTTTGTCAGGTAAATCTCTGTATGTCAGGTACATCTCTGTTTTGTCAGGTAAATCTCTGTATGTCAGGTAAATCTCTGTAGGTCAGGTACATCTCTGTATGTCAGGTAAATCTCTGTATGTAAGGTACATCTCTGTATGTTAGGTACATCTCGGTTTTGTCAGGTAAATCTCTGTATGTCAGGTAAATCTCTGTATGTAAGGTTATTTTTCATTATCTTTAACGTGCCTGACATGTGTGTTATTAAGGCTTTTCAATGTGGCTTTAAGGCGATAGCATATAATTACAAAAACAATATTTTTCTGCTTTATTGGTAAACATTTTCAAGTTGCAAAAGAATCCTACAAAACAAAAATGTTTGAAGGGGTAGAAAAATATATTTCAGACATGTAGCTGTAGGTGTTGAAAAACAAATCAGGGTTTGCAGAAGGGGAGTAACTCCACTAGAGAGAAAGACAATATGGAAACAAGATTTAGTTGAAAATTCATGAATTAAAGATTTCTTTTATTTAAGATTTTGGGTGAATAATTCCTTTTCATAGTCAAATTGATATGTCAAGCATCTAGAACTCATATCTGACCTGGAGCTGTCTCTGCTCCTAGTGACATGATATCTGTATCAATGTGTTAAACCTTGTTTTTCTTTGTTTACTTTGAACAGCGTGGAGATATTCCGCCTGGCGAATAGTTTCTGGATTAACTGGGATGGGAAGATGTACTATAAGAAGGTAGACACGCCTGCCAAGGCGAGAACCACCACTCTTAACGAGGAACTGGGACAGATAGAATACATCTTCTCCGATAAAACTGGTACTCTAACACAGGTGAGGCTAAATCTCTTAACTGTGGTAGTGGTATGTTTAGTTACCAGATAGAGTACTTACTCTAGTAAGGGCACGTTATCGTAGACACGGGTGTCTTATACTAATTATGGTGTCTGTCTGTCTGTCTGTCTCTCCTTTCTGTCTGCCTGTCTGTCTATATGCACTTTCTTTTCAAAAAGAATCCAAAAGACTTATCTTTGTATCCCCCGCTCAACGACTTGGCAGGGAATATAGAAATGGGGTCCGTCTGTCCGTCCTTGCGTCCCTTCATTGATGCACCTGGTTAAGAAGAATTGCTCTCCCCTATATCTTGCCTACTACAAGTGCTATGTTGATTATACTTGCATCTAGATTGTGTATCTAGGGTACTCTACTGATCATACTACGGATGCTGATTTTGACCTATATTTTATGCTTAATGTTTTTAATGACTTTTGCACTATGAGTGGGGGATATCGATGACAGCGTCTTCTTGTTGAAATTTGACATGGTGATACATTATGATATTTAGATGTCCAAAAAGGGTTTTAAAAGTTTTTAAAATCAAGGTCACTGTTTCTAAAAATAAACCATGGTGGAGGATGGGGTGGTCCTAATTATCTCAGAATCAAAAAAAATATCTTTTTGAAATTAAACATGGTGATACATTGTGATTGGTAGATGTGACATGATTAATTGATTGATTGGGTTTACGTCCGCTTCACTACCGATTAGTCTGGTTATCCAGCAGATGATTATGTAGATGTGACAATGCAATAGGACTTTAAAAAGTGTTTAAGGTCAACTTAAAAATAGACATGATGGAATGGTCAGGCACATGGCTTGGCAGGGCCTTTCCTGACCTGTCAATGTCCTTGTAAGCATGCATCTCTCGCTGTTTTACTTCATATTGTTATAGAATCATTGACTGTTACATTTTTGCTTTATTTTCAGAATATAATGACGTTCAATAAGTGCTCTATAAATGGGAAGTCCTATGGTGACGCTTATGACGATTTCGGGAACGCTGTGGAAGTGACTGAGGTAAGATTAATATCGCAAATTCATTGTCAAATAAAGCCAGTACGGCTGTCTTAATTGAACTGTAGTCATCACTGTTCAATAGAACACAAGCAAAGCTGAAACAAAATGTAAAATGTGTTATCAACAATTTCATGAAACCTTCTTTTCACCACACTGAACTGAGAAGATCCCTGGATTCCTATCCTTATTTCATCCCCATTAGTTGGCACAGTCAGGGGTATATAAGTATTCATATTGTCCTTTCATCAACCCGTGCATGCATCCGCCCGTGCTTACTGTGGTTTCCGGACAAATCTCAGCTGCTGTTTCATGAATTGGCATAAAACTTTGTATGTAGGTAAATCATTGGAAGGCAATTTGTCACATCTTTAAACCATGTCTCTGTGACCTCAATTTGACCTTTGACTTTGATCGCAAGAACTTAATTTAATTTAGGTCTCTACAGCATATCTTAGCCACTGTTTCATGAATGGGCGGGCTCCAACTTTGTAGATATGTGGGAAGTGGGGGTATCCGTTAAGCCAAAGCTTCGAGTTAAATCTAGTTTTTAGCTCACCTTCTGAATAACCAAAAGGCCCAGGCTGATGATATTTGGCCAGTAGCATGCTGGGATGAAGGGCTACCAAGTTTGTTTAAATGAATAACCTTCACCCACTTTCAAGGTCACAGGGGTCAAATGACTTAAAAACTTCAAACAACTTCTTCTCAATAACCAAAAGGCCCAGGGTACTGATATTGTGCCTGTAGCCTGCTGGGATGAAGGGCTACCAAGTTTGTTCAAATGAATGACCTTCACCCACTTTCAACCTAATGTCATTGTTCGACTTTCAAGGTCACAGGCGTCATATGTTTAAATCTTTTAATTGGTTCCTATGAATCAAACACTGATATTCTGCCTGTAGCTGTATTTTAGTCCACTTTTAAGATTACAAGTGTGAGATTAATACCAGGTGAGCGATGCAGGCCCATTGGGCCTCTTGTTTAAATCTTTTAATGGATAAATCAGGAATCATAAATGATACTGAAGTCACCTTTTCCATCTGTATTGATCTTGCCATTTAAACCTTTCATTTTCAGCATACGCCAAAAGTGAATTTTTCCGACAATCCTTACTTCGAGACAAGTTTTGATTTCTACGACTCTCAGCTTTTGACAGCTATCCACGATGGAAACCCCCTTGCACATAGGTTTTTCTACATCCTGGCTCTTTGCCACACTGTTATGCCGGAGATGAATGATGGTAAGTATTATGACAATTTCAGCATTTAACGTTTTGATAATCAGTCTTCCATTGGTACTACCTGACCAAACCAGAGGTTTGGTACTACCTGACCAAACTAGAGGTTTGGTACTACCTGACCAAACTAGAGGTTTGCTCTCTATCTGTCCCTTAGTCAGCTGGTTGTGCATCACTTTGTCCAAAACATTTCCCATACTTTGTCACCTTCCATAATTGCTAATTTTTGTACGCACCTTAAATGATATCTGGAATATTTCATCGCAATTAATTTCATGTTTTTCTCTTCAAAATATAAGTAGGCACTTTTGCATGTTAAAAAAATGGTAAACATGAGCTATTAGTTGTTGATTTTGACCAAATGTAGCCAAATTGTTCTAAGAAAGTGTGTTGCATGAAACACAGGTAAATCTGAGGTAAATATTCTGGTCAATATGCAGCTTTATGAAACAGTCGATAATTGACTTGACGTTGTTTTATAAAGCAACACTTGCCTATTGCTGTTAGATATGTTGGCAGTCATAGATAACCCCCCTTAGGGTGGTGCAGTGGTCCATATTTGAGTCAAGTCCCTTCTCCACACCCATGCAGAGTTATAGCCTTTTGTTAATTTTTGAAACCAAACTTTGTATAAAAGCGAGGTGACTGGATTATTTTGCAATACTTTGCCTTGTTTTTACCTGAAAAGCTCTTACTAGAGATTGTCGTTCTTGTCAAGTGAATATTTTCACAATAAATGAGAAAAGCATTTATCTTGTATATTTTCATGAATTGTTCTTTGTTTTTTGTCAATATGCAGTGTGCTTAAGAAGAAGAACATAATTCTGGTGAAAAAAATATGCTGTAATGTTACTGCTTTTTTGGAAGTATGTAATTAAAAACAAAATCAATCTTTTAAAGTATATTACGCTGTATTTATGAATCGAATTCCAAATGAAGTTACAGTGAGAGGTATTTATATATTTTCTCAACTTACTAGGTACGTAGGTATCTATATAATCTCACCTGTTCGTGTTTGCTTGTTAACAGGTGTCCTTGAGTATCAGGCCCAGTCACCTGACGAGGGAGCTTTGGTCGGTGCTGCCAGGAACTTTGGTTTCGTCTTTAAGGTATGTATCAATGTTATTATCTCACCCGCCTCATTCTAGTTTAAGTTCTATTGATGAAAACAACTGAATCTTACATCTAGGTAAGATTGTACAGTAAGACAGTATTTGTCGGTATGTGTGTTACTTCTATAACAAATAACCGATGCTATCGCAATGATGTAGGTCAAACCAAACCGTCTCCACATTTTCATCACTCTTTAATATATATTATTTTGACCAAACTTGATGCAGATTTAGAACTGCTATTTTATTGGAAATTCTTAAAGAAACCAAAATGATTAACAGGGTGTTAATACAAGTTCTTCTCTACTTCAAAAATGTTAAGTGCTTTGTTAATTTTTAATGATCTTGAATTCTGAAAAAGAAGTGCATGTTTTGTTGACTACCTCTACTGTAGCAATGTTTGATTGGAATTTGTTCACAGTGAAGTTGAGATTTTATTAATGCATGTATTTTTAACTGATCATACACTATTAAAAACAAAATTTATATTTTCAGTCCCGAACACCACAAACCATCACCATTGAAGTGATGGGCAAGCAAGAAGTGTACGAACTGTTGTGTATCCTCGACTTCAACAATGTCCGAAAGAGGATGTCTGTGAGTATATCGTACTGTGTGTAACGACCCAAAAATAAAACACCTGTGAATTTGTTCCCATTTTGGTATAAAATTACTGACGACTTTAATGACTATAAATGGTTTTAGGTTGATGTACAATACCTATTTGTTGCCAGACAAGATTATGTAGGTTTGAACTGCAGAATCGCCTAACATTATATTTGTATGATACTTCATAATTAACGGAGAGGATTTCTATAGGCTTTGCTTGTTATCCATTTCATGCAGGTTATACAACAAATATTTTTTAAATGGAATTCGTTATTGTGACATTGTATGGATAAAATTTGTTGCAGGTGGTGGTCAAAAAAGATGGTAAAATCATGCTTCTGTGTAAGGGTGCCGATTCTGTGATCTACGAGAGACTGGACTCGAGCTGTGCCAACGCTAAGGAGCTTTGTACTCATCACTTAAACGTATGTCATATCCTGCTGGCGATAAGCCCTCATTCTTGATCGTATTGAGTAGATATACTAAGGTACTGTTACAGACATATTTTATCTAGAACTACACTTTACACCAAGAAATCTGCAACATAGGTATTCCTAAATTGTAGATTACAAGTTCAAATTGACAACACATTTTTAGAAGGGAGATAACTCTAACACAGAATTACACAATGTACATATGAAGGTTAATCTAGAAGCAACACCTTCCTGTAAATGAATCTAATTCAGAAATAAACCTGATATTTATTATACCTGTCTACAGTCTCTGCCCCGAGGCTTATTACAGGCAAATTTCTATAGAAGGTATTCCTGATAGAGAGAAGATGTAAGTTTGAAAAATCAAGTAGAACCCCACTGATATTTTATCATTTGTTTGATATTGTTGATGTTTGTACGTTTGATTACTCATTTTGGTTTCCCATAAGTATTTGTTAATCTGATGATGGGTTCTAAGAAAAAATATTTGAGATAATAATTATAACGATTGATGTAAAATAAAAATGTAATGATAACAATTACCGCAGGGAATTCAACTTACCAAAATGATACCAGTAGCATGCTGGAATAAAGGGCTACCAACTGTGTTCAAATGTGTCCTTCATCCATGTTTAAGGTCACAGGGGTTAAATGTCTTTAAAGATGTTTAAACAGGGTAGTTTCTTCAGTAGCTCTGAGCAGCGAGCCAAAAGTAAAATCCCTGGTTCTGTATATCACAGAAAGATGAGATTCGGCAAAAGTATATTGTATCACTTTTCTTCACAGGAATTTGCTCAGGATGGCCTTCGAACACTTTGTCTGGCCGAAAAAGTTATCCCTCAAAGTCAATGGGATGCATGGCAGAAGAAACACCACGAAGCCAGGTAAGATATGGATACAAGCCTGGAGGAAACATTAGGAAAACGTTTTGTTAGTTCTTGAGTTATTCAAAGATACATTACTAGGTATAGCCAGTCAGTTAGCAGTGTTTTAACAAAATTTCTAGCAGAAAAATAGAGTTATGTATAGTGAAGTTGCATTTGTAAAACTTTATTTCTTTAAAAATGCTGTCTAATGTTTACACAAGATCTGTCTGTTCTACATTGCAACGAAAAATTATGGGCAGTCTTGTATATAGAGGTTATTTTTTATGATACCGACAATACAAAGCCAGAAAGTTTATGTATCAGCCAGAAGAGTTGAAAGACTGGAGGTCAAATTTTGGACTTTTAAGGCTCATAAGGATTAAGACATCACAATGGTCATATTATAAACTTTTAACATATGTCTTGCACATAACAAATCGAGAAGAAAATTATTCATAACTCATAAAAGAATTTTTAATAGGCATTAATGATAGCCTGATTCAGTGTTTCCTTCTGTATTTAGAATTTGAATATTACAGAAAGTGATATATATTTCTCTTTATTTTTAAATGAATTTTGTTTCCTAGCGCCTTGCTTGGCAATACCTAACTTTTGATCATAATGTTGAACGTTTGTCCAGGTGAGGAAGGTAATGGGTTCTGTCCCCAGGCCGGGACATATACCAAAGTCCTTAAAAATGGTAAATGTTATATCCTGCTAAATGTTCAGCATTAAGGGTAATGGCAACAACTGGTCCACCCGTTGTCAGTATAATGTAACCAGTGAGAAATGCTGTGCTGGGCACTTTGGGCATGTTATTTCAGTGAGAGGACACTAGAAAGTGGGCATCAGCTAGATCCGCGCTGTCACAAGGAGACAATTACGCTTACATACCCTGCCTCCAGCAGACATACCCACAGGCATGCGTAACACATGGAGGCACATCCTTAAATGACTTCAGCTGTTGATAGGATGTTACACTCTATAAAAAACACACAAACTTATTTTGTGTCTTCTTCTTCCCAGACCCTTTCTGTCATTTTGCTACTTTTAACTCTAATAAACATCAGACCACAGAATAAAGAATCCGTTCACCCTGATGCCGTGATACTTTTGACAGCACACAGGAAGCAGACGACAATATGTATAGTTATCTAAAATTGTTACTTCTGCATTTCTATAGAACAGCTTTAATATTTTCATTTGCCAAAAACAGTGCAAGAGGCGGTCCAAACAGTGGATTAGTTACATAAAAATTGTCACATAGATGAGTTTGTATCAGGGTTGTAAATTATCACATATGTTAAAAAAAAACTGACATTATGTGTAAACATGTGATTAATATTGTATAATTGTATTATATAATTTTCAGTACATCATTACAAGATCGTGAGGAAAAAGTGGACGCAGTTTACGAGGAGATTGAACAAAATCTAATTCTTGTGGGGGCTTCTGCCATCGAAGATAAATTACAAGATGGAGTTCCTGAAGCCATAGCTAATCTTGCAGAAGCTGGGATCAAAATCTGGGTACTCACAGGGGACAAACAAGGTACTGAGGCCTTCAAGGAGAATCTATAATCATGAGGCCTTCAAGGGGAATCTATAATCATGGGGCCTTCAAGGGGAATCTATAATCATGAGGCCTTCAAGGGGAATCTTTATTCTTGACGCCTTCAAGGGGAATCTATAAACTGAGGCATTCAAGGCGAATTAATAATCATGAGACCTTCAATGGATATCTATAAGCATGAGGCCTTCAAGAGAAATCTATAATCCACTGGCCTTCAAGGCAAATCTATAAACTGAGGCCTTCAAGGGAAATCTATAATCTGCAGGCCTTCAAGGGGAATCTTTATTCCTGAAGCCTTCAAGGGGAATCTATAATCCTGAGGTCTTCAAGGCGAATCTATAATTCTGAGGCCTTCAAGGCGAATCTATATACTGAGGTCTTCAAGGTGAATCTTTAAAGTGAGGCCTTCAAGGGGAATCTAGAATCCTGAGCCCTTCAAGGGGAACCTTGAATCTTGACGGGAATCTACAATTCAGGATTTTTTAGGGGAAACTAGATAAATTCATGGGGTTTTCAAGGCGAATCTATAATTTCGAGGCCCTTAAGCGTAATCTAGAATCCTGAATACTTCAAGGGGAATCAATAATCCTGAGACCTTCAAGGGGAATCTATAATCCTGAGGCCTTTAAGGGGAATCTATAATTGTGAAGCCTTCAAGGGGAATCTATAATCCTGAGGCCTTCAAGGGGAATCTATAATCCTGAGGCCTTGGAGGGGAATCTGTACTTCAAGTTATTAAAGGAAGTATAACAATCATATTTTAGCATAACTAACGTCATCTTCGATGGATGTTTAAACATGAATTCTGTATATTTATTTCAGAAACTGCTATCAATATTGGGTATTCGTGTCGTCTGCTGACTGATGAAATGGAAGACATTTTTGTGATAGACGCTGAATCTTATGAAGACGTGAGAAAACAAATGTCTGATGCCTTAGAGGAGGTGAAGAGGATTAATCGTGAGAAGAAGGAAGCCTCGCAAACTGATAATGTACAAATTGCAAATGGTGGCGGCCAACAATTCTACAACGGTGGACCGAGTAGTGCTGTGATGGAAGACGATGATATATGTAATGAATTTGCACTTGTTGTCAATGGTCATAGTTTGGTAAGTTTATATCGCATTTAGAACCAGGCAAAGTATAAAAAAAACATGTTTTCTTACTGTTTTAATTTTTCTAAAGAGAGGTGTTGTAATCCATGTAATGTTCCATTTCAAATTCGTTTAGGAGAAATGGAATTACAAAGAGAGACATAAACCCGCATTTTCATAAGAAAATATGTGTATATCATCTGTTGTGCACTATTTGGTTAAAAAAAGGCCTTTTTAAAGGAAATTAACCAAACCCTTTTCAATGTTTGAAAGCCTCCGCATGCAACAAACAAACATGTTTGACATGCTTATGATTTTCATACCAGTGTCCATTCGCAAGAAGGAATTTTTGTTTGTCACATGCGGAGGCTTTCATTTCTGCATGTTAACTGTCCAAAAACACCATATTTTGGCTATTTCTGCTTAGCAACACAATTTCTTTGCTATGGTAGGGCTTTTCCACATGTGCATTGGAAACAAATTTCACCGAGAAAGATGGCCCCGATTAACTTATATGATGTTCAAAACAGAATTTGGTAAAGAAATTCAAGTTCATTTTTTTACTTTTTGTGAGGCCAAAAATGCCCCATAAGTCCGTTGCTATTATTAATGAATATCCTTTATAAATTTTCCAATTTCCTCATCGCTTAGATCCAAGCACTCAAACCGGAGATGGAACAGCTACTTCTGGAGTTAGGCTGTTCCTGTAAGGCAGTCATCTGCTGTCGAGTTACACCACTACAAAAGGCGCTTGTCGTTGACCTGATCAAGCGTAACAAGAAATCAGTCACCCTTGCCATTGGTGATGGAGCTAATGATGTCAGCATGATCAAGAGTGAGTTTTACTGGAGAGTTCTTTTTACTCTAGGAGGGAGTCGGATATATACAATTTAATCTTGCTTGTTAACAAGCATTTTCATTGGCTTAAAAATTTATGTTATCAGCCCATAACGTAAAAAATGACGTCGCCGTTTGTAATGTCGCTTTTGATTGGCTGATACAGCAGCCCAATAATTTCTAAGAGAAAAAGTGTCCATCAATAAAAGTGGATTTCCACAGGGATTGTGTATAGTAAATTAAATTATAAGGATTAACTTGAATATGTTTTTCATGTTATGGAGCTATAACACAAAAAAACGGAGTGTACTCTCATCATAAACATCATAAACCGCTTCGCCGTTTATTTAGAATACACTCCATTTTTTGTGTTATATCTCCATAACATGAAAAATATATTCAAGTTAATCCTTAAGTAGATTTGTTATTATTTATTCAGTTATTTTATCATTTTATCAGTTATATTCTCCCTCATTATATTCTTCCAAATAAAAAACAATTAAGTTCAAATGATAACACGAGACATAAGTGGTATAATAGCTCTTTGCTGATTCGTTTATTACGTTCCACAACTAACCATAATTAACACCTATCCACAGTTTCCTACTGGCTGACATACATTTTATATATATTTGCAAAAAAAAAAATCCTTGCTTGAATATTTTATTAAAAAATAATTTACATGAACATGTATGATCTTGAGAAAACGACCGCGAAAGAGCCCACCTAGCGTGTGTTTCCTATATATACACCAGTACATCACATGACAACCACCCCGATACGTGTCCTCCCCTCCCCCCCCCCGGAATCCTCACATGAGTACTTATGGAAACAGCCAAGTTAATTTCATCTACTGTATATCTGGAAACTTTTGCCCTTAACATGTTTTTACTATAAATTATATGCTGTGTACTAATTATATACTCTCATTGTAAATACACACTTTTCACTAAAGGGGAAAAGCTTAAAGGAAACTGGGACGAAAATGTCCTGGTGGTTTATCTACCTGCTGTTAAATGTGTGCGACTTGTGAGATGGAATTCTAGACTTTCACAACATTTGTTTCTCCGTTTGCAGCGGCTCACATCGGTGTTGGTATCAGTGGCCAGGAGGGACTCCAGGCCGTCCTTTCTAGCGATTACTCCATCGCTCAGTTCAGATACCTCGAGCGTCTGCTCCTCGTCCATGGGCGCTGGTCCTACTTCAGAATGAGCAAGTTCCTCAGATATTTTTTCTACAAGAATTTTGCTTTCACATTGTGTCATTTGTGGTTTGCGATCTTCTGTGGTTTTTCTGCACAGGTAAGTGAACATTTACTTAGAATTGGGCCAATATTAAGAAGGCATATAGAGTGATTATTAAACCTGTTATTTGCTTTTCTTAAAAAAAATCAATGATTGAAATATCTAGCAAGTGAAACTGAATGAATTCAATCGTACCTGAATCTGATTTGTCTGCAGTCCTGTTAAGCGTTAAAGGACTATAGCCGGTAACATTCCCAGAATGCAGTGTCATCTCGTAATATTTGACAGCTATGTTAGTAATTTAAATGCTTGTTTTTCAGACTTGGGTTTATCAGTATACGTTCATTTTTTCAGACTTTATGTTGATCTCTAATTATGTTTATTTTTCAGACTTAGGTTTATCTCTAATTATGTTTATTTTTCAGACTTAGGTTTATCTCTAATTATGTTTATTTTTCAGACTTTGTTTGATCCCTACTTCATTTCCTTCTACAACCTGTTCTATACCTCAATGCCGTGTCTCTTCATGGCGGCGTTTGACCAGGTAAGTACATTTGTTTGTTTTACGTAGTGCAGTAGATTCCACTTAATATAACATTCCAGATAATATCATGTTTTCCAAAAATCAGTCTGTGTACCCCCACAACATCCTTGATGGGACAATAAGTGTGTGCCTTTTACTGTTAATCCATCATTTCTTATGAACGACATTTTGATTAAACTTGGCTTTTAGCTTCATTACTCCAATACTAGATGTCTAGCAGTCATCGAACATCATATTGAAAAATTTTGAGGAGTACTGCACCAGTATATTAAAAGTAGGTCACTGTGACCTATATTTTTCTCCTAAATGACTGGTTAGACATTTTGTATAGTTCGCATTATAAATTATGTAGAACAATGATTAGCATAGTTTTGACTCAAAAACCACTGATTAAACCTTCTCTTTCAACCTGATTTCAGCCCAAAATAAAAACAACTAAAAAAACAATCTGTTGTAATTTTGTAAATATGTCCCTGTACAAATAACACAAGGATGCAAAGGTTGTGATAAAAAATGACACCAGTAAGTTGTAATTCCTTACAGGTAGAATGTCCTATGACCAAGATGTTTTATTGTCCGAAAAGTACATTTTCCTGATTTTCTCAGTAACATAAGTTAGATTGTCAGATGACGACAACGTGATGACAAATTTATCAATTACAGGACGTGAATGAGACTTACTCGCTGCGCTACCCCAAGTTGTACACGCCAGGCCTTAGAGACATGCTGTTCAATAAGAAGATTTTCCTGTTAGGCGTGATGGAAGGGTTCATCACATCCCTTATATTATTTTTCATCCCCTACGGGACGTTCTACTGGGCGACCAACCCCTGGGGCACGGACCTCGTCGACCATCAGTCATTTGGGGTTGTAGTCGCGTCCATACTGGTGGTCGCTGTCAACCTACGGGTAAGTTTGTATGCTGTAAAAAGGTGGTTTTATCGGAATGACATAATAATTCTGATTAAGTATCGCTTGTTTAGATATAGTAGTTAATCCTTTCACCACTGTAGACCATAATGGACTCATCCATATTAATGTAAGGTAGAGTCTACTAAAGTAACTAGGGGTGAAAGGGTTAACCGATTAGAGCATCGACAGTGCTCAATTTATTTAAAGATAGGTCTTTCTTTTCGCTGTTTCTTTTTTTCGCAGACATTGTTAAAAAGTAAATTGTGTTGGATCTAATTTTCATGGATGTCATGTCCAGTGGCCATAGTTCACTGTTCTGCTGTAACGATGGAGTATTACTTTATACCAAGAAATTTTTGCTGCAGTTTTAAATATTTGCCTTTTTCGTCCTCCATAATGAGGGTGAAGTTATCATTAAAACGAACATTAGGACACAGCATAGCAATATATACAGAAATCAAAATGAGAAGGGCGAATTCAATATTGGGTGAAAAAAGGATTTTACCATCAAAGGACAAAACATTTTCCAATATAATGTATTTATGTCAAGGCTTAAGTTGTTTATAAAAAAATTGTTACTGTGAAAATCGTGAACATTAGAAAACTCTAATCCTTATAGTATGTATGATAGATATGTGTTAATGATGGGTATTACATTACAGTGTGCGCTGGATACGTCGTACTGGACTGGCTTCAACCACTTTGTGATATGGGGAAGCATGATCCTGTACTTCTGCTTCATTCTCGCCATGTACTCCAGCGTGTTCAACTACACGTATATGGGGGTGGCCTACCAGGTCTACTCCACAGCCAATTTCTGGCTTTGTCTACTCCTCACCATCACGATCCTCCTTATCCCGGTCATCGCATACCGCTTCTACTATCTCGACATGCATCCCACGCTCAGTGACCGAGCCCGACTCAAACAGCGCATGTCCAAATCCAAGGCTCGCTCAGGTGACATCACAATGCGTCGTCAGTCGACACTGCGCCGCAGCACAAGATCATTACGCTCAGGCTACGCCTTCGCCCACCAACAAGGTTTTGGCGAGCTCATCACCAGCGGCTTAAATATGCGACAACGGGTCGAACAAAGTGAGGCAAGAGATAATCCTGTCCAGTTAACTAAAATTAAACGTATAAACAGCTCAAACTCGCCACAAAACGGGAACAGCGCTTCAGAAGGATCCCATGTAAATAACGTGTCGGAGCATGAACATGATAAACATGTAATGTTAAGTGAAAAGCTCTGACGAAACCATCCGAGTCATTGAAAAGCTTTGATAAAATAAAACAAATCTGTGATTATGTGAATTTATATCAAGATTGTATGTCAAGTTATTTAGATAAAATGCGTGAAGTCCTATGAAAGAAATCAGACGTCCCTATTTTACAAAACTGAAAATGTTCAGCTTGTGATCAGTGTATCTTCAAAAGAAATGTTTAGAAATAGATATGTTGCAATATTTGTAAATAAGATTTTACCATAGTGTTAATACATATGATGTCATAATCTAGAAATTTCATAAATTGTTAGAAAAAATTGGGGTTATTTTTTTCCTGTTTTTGTATTAACTATGTACCATGCTTGATTTCCTGCATAAAAAAATCCAAGTTCAGACTCTTAAAATTTGTTCTTAATATTATGCTCTTATATTCCCTTCAAATAAAGATTTTTTAATTAAATGATTTATTTTTCGACGGACTGTATTATGGTATGCCATTTTTCTTGTGTCTGATGATCCACTAAGCTGAGGTGTTTGTCCACCCATCCGTCCATACAGAATCTTTCCTTTCTCTGGACCACAATTTATTATCAGAAGAAGATGCAAAGGTCAAGGGTCACTATTACAGAACATTCGCTTTATAGTATGACTTTATCGTGGCTCCCTCGGTGCCATTCATCGTTGGTTATAACCCTGTTGAAAAATGTTTAGTTAAAATTAAACCTAGTTATAACTTTTTTCACTATGTATTCTTCCTAGTTCATCTTACACTTAATTCAGTTTTTCTGGTTTTGGATTATAAATTGTCACGTTCTGTGTCTGTTAACTCAGCTGTATTGATATCACAAACAAGTTGAGCTGCTTTTGGTAGAGCTGGTATTGATGTGAATTTAAAGCCTTTTATTATTTAAAATTGAAAACAATTAGTCAACATTAAATTTATTTATTTTTTGAAATGACAAAATTTGATTAAGAGAAAAAATGAACTTTTTAAAGCATGACAGGAAAATTTAATATTTAATTGTTTCAATAAAAGCCTTTCCCCGAAAATATTGTTTTTACATTAATGTCTGAACTTGGTTTAGTATTTCCCTTTTTATCTACATAAAATGATGTGAGTTTGATATGAAATCACCTGTACATAAAAGTTATAAAGTAATTAATATTTAGCCTCATTGAAGGTTTAAATCGTTTCTGTTAAATGTGAGAAAATATGTGTATTTTACATTTTTTGTGTATATATTACACAGGTAGCTGTAATCTTCTAATATACTGCACTGTTTAAATGTCTTTAAGTTTTTTCTATCGATTCAAATATTGTTCTAGTTTGTACAGAAAGTATTACTATTTTACAATGATGTTATGATTATTATTCTTGTACATGTACCTGCTTGGCAATGAGTAATCATTTGAACTGATCTAACTGCTTTTTTCACTAGTCATGGAGTCGGTCCAGACGTGTTTATTGGAATAACTTTCCTGTGATTTCTGTGGCAATAATTTCTATTTTATTAATGGATGTACATGTGTTTATCCATTTTTTAATTGCTGACTTTGCCTGGTGAATTTTCCTTCCAATATCTCTTGATACCACACACACTTACCTTTGCTAAAAATGTGGAAAAAATAATTCTGCAAAGGGAGATAATTACAGGTTAAATAGACTTTCCTTCACAGAGGAATACAAATTGATGTAAATCTTTTCACATAGAATAGTTTTGCATTTGAAAGGGGAAATTATATATATATGCACTTTTTGAAATATCTTGTTAATAGATTTAAAATTCTGTAAAAAATAATTACAGACTATACAGGATGTATGTGTTAGTACATGTATTATATTATGTTGGTAACTATTTTATGGTGTGTAAGTAAAAAAGAAACATTGATATTGCTAATTAACTGGAGAGAAAAGGTTATAAGGATGATATTTTATAGTATCTCCCTTACTATCACGCGACGATAGTATCAAAGGGTGATATAATATTGTATACTATCTCCCTTACTATCATGAGACGATAGTATCAAAGGGTGATATAATATTGTATACTATCTCCCTTACTATCACGCGACGATAGTATCAAAGGGTGATATAATATTGTATACTATCTCCCTTACTATCAAGAGACGATAGTATCAAAGGGTGATATAATATTGTATAATATCTCCCTTACTATCAAGAGACGATAGTATCAAAGGAAGATATAATATTGTATAGTGTCTCCCTTACTATCACGAAACGATAGTATCAAAGGATGGTATAATATTGTATAGTATATCCCTTACTATCACGAGACTATATTATCAAAGGATGATATAATATTGTATAGTATCTCCCTTACTATCACGAGACGATAGTATCAAAAGCAGGTTCATTTAAGCAAACTTTTGGACAATGAAGTAGTCTTGCAATTAAATAAAAATACAGTAACAATTGTATAGGTACACATAAAAGCTACGGGTATGTGAGATTGAGATTTGTTTCGAATTGAAGTTTAAAAAAGATAGAAATACTTGTTGCATATTTCAGCCTTTTCCCCAAATATTTTATTTTTCATTATTTTTTTCATTTTAAGTTTATTTATTTTTTAACTTGTCAATTTGTATTGGTCTTTCAGACTCTGATTATGAGTTTAAAGATCATATTTAAATGTCATGTTTTGTTATTGTTCTATTCGTTAGAAATTACTGTTTCTGATATTTGCTGTCAATTTCTGTTATTTTGCTAAATATGATAGATCAGGTCCCGTAGTCAATAAACCATTCTCATGCTCAAACTCACATTTTTTGCTCAAGCCAAACCCCTTGTTTTGGTGATAAATGAATAATGAAACATATTTGATCAATGATTTATAAAAATTCTGGAGACAATTATTAACACTTTATTTTTTCACCATGTCACAGGATTTAAATGAGTTGCAAGAAAGTTGATTTGAGCACAGAATTAAGGCTTGAACATGAGAACCGTTTTAGTAATACGGTCTCAGGTATATACATCAGGGGAACATCTATGTTCAGTTTAAAAGGTGGCTGTTGGCCAAAGTGATTCAGAACTGAAAGTTCTTTAATAAGTTCACTTTGTTTCTTAACTCATGAAAGCTCTCTGGGATCTTTCCTTTCCTGAAAATATGTCATTCACATGCATAGAATTTAGGATTTCATTCTTTGAAAATTTCGCAAAATGTTTTTGTTTGTCTTTTGGATGTTGGTCCTTCTTCGGGTTTGTGTGTTAAATTTTATTTAAAAGTCTAACGTATATTCAATTTATAAAAATGATATTATTGAAATCATGCTATCATTGACCAAATATAATACACCTTAAAAACTGGATATATACATGAAAAAATATATATATATGCATATTTTTTTTTTAATGAAATAGGATTTCGACTGTTTATTTTCTTTTTGCTATAATGTTTCTTCTCAAATATTCATTGTAGAATATTTACTATGACCATTCCTTTTGTTTCCATCATTTAGTGCAATTTTGAACGTTAATTTGAAAAAATAAATCTCTAATTAATGCTTAATTTCAAAACTGCAAATAGATTTGACCTAGCAGCAGCTAACAAAAATTAGGGAACTTAAAAACTTGTTGAGTTTTGATGTTAATTCAAAAATGAAATAATTCTCAGATCAAAAGCTGTTTCAGTCTTAAAATCAAGATGAAAGCATTCTTTAAAAAGGATGCCATTTGCTGATTTTATCTCAGATTCATCAATTGTTAGATATAAAATTCAAATGTTTTGTGTTCACCCTAGATAATTTTAATTACAAAATTGAATATATATCTATGTTAAATATGAATATTACTATACAGGCTGAAAACAATACTAGAGGGGATTTAAGTGTGGAGGAGATTGCAAAAGATGAACGTTAACTAAATGCTGCATTAAACTGCATATATAAATAAAAAAAATATGGATTCATGTAGAAAAAGGTGATATAAAGTAATATTTCCAAGAACTGATACTGTTTACTGCCAGCCTATGTGATGGGATTGTGTCGGCTTGTTACTTTATTTTAATGTTTTATTAGCGTAAGAACGTAATTATAAGATACCGGTAGAAACGATTGTACAATATGTATACATATGAATTTACTTTTTTTTGTTACATGTACATACAGTGTAGAAATGTTGAAAGATGTTATTTTGGTTTAACTGCAGTGTCTTTAAAAAAAACAGTCTCAGAGACCAATTTAATATCTTGGAGAAGCTACCATCCAATATATATCTCAAAATCACTTTACTAATCCAGACATTTTGTTTCTGGTAAAAAAATCCATTTTTTCAAACTTAACGAGAAATTTCACTCATGTTGAAAGATATTATGATGTTTATTCCAACTAACAGTCGTAGAAAGAAAAAATACCCTTATAAGTTTACCTAAACATCTGAAAATATTTACCTATATGAAAATTCACTCCAAGTCTACCTGTATGAAAGTTCACAACATATCTACCAGTATGAAAGTTATCCCTGAGAAACTTAGTTACCTGTATGAAAGTTATCCCTGAAAAACTTACCTGTATGAAAGTCATCCCTGAGAAACCTACCTGTATGACAGTTATCCCTGAGAAACTTACCTGTATGACAGGTTTCCCTGAGAAACTTACCTGTATGACAGTTCTCCCTTAGAAACTTACCTGTATGAAAGTTCTCCTGAGAAACTTACCTGTATGAAAGTTCTCCCTTCGAAACTTACCTGTATTTATTAGTGCTACTTTTTTGTAGCTTAATGGATAACTGGTGTAAAATATTGATTTACAAGAATCCAAAGACGTTTTATACACAGATTCTTTTGATGTATTTATCATTATCATTTGTTATCATTTAGCTAAACATTTTACTGCATACTTTCCTCACTATCCAATTTTATTACACTTGGGAATCTATACAGATAAAAACACATCCTTTTTTTGGGGATGTATTATGTAAATGTTAACAATTGTGTATAGTGGGCCCCAGGGGAAATAGTGCTGCCAGCGGTTGTGGTCAAAAAGTGTCTCCCTGCCCTCCCTTTTCCCAACCCTATCTATGTTATGTCTGAATTAGGCCTTAGATATATAAATCATACCGTAGGTATCAGTATATCATTGTATAGGTGTTATGAGCATTTTAGATGTTTATCAAAAAACATTAACGTAAATAGATTTCTTAAAAAAAATATGTAAATAATTTAATTTGTAAACAAATGTCTTGTGCAATCCATTTATAAATAGAGACCATGAAATGTTTGTTATTTTCAAACTTGGTTTATTTATTATTGAGCCAGGTGTACATTCCTGGAGAGTAAAACAATCATGTAATTACCACCCAACCAGGTGTCTAGATCGTTGATAGAAAGAATGTGTTATTACTTAGTGGATAACTTTGTACATATTCATGTTCATTTTTCAGCATTTACAGTTGATTGTAATAGATTAACTTTGTCGTCGATTATTTCAACAATAAACTTTCTTCTCCTCGTTGGTTTTAATGGTGAAAGGTGATTTATTGTGATAAGGGACCCTAATATTAAATCTTACATTTGCTTATAGGTTGCAGTTTACTGGACAAATTTTTAACTCATTTACCCCTGAAGACACATTTGAACTCTTACAATTCAAAGGTTTGAATAGTTCATTATGAAATTTCAGGGGTGAATGAGTTAATAACTGGAAACTTACCCTAATTGGACGATTTCTTTCCTGAATCTCCAAAAGTAAAACAATTATTTTAAGATTAGAGCTTTTTGCATAAAGTTCGGGAATGTTTGACCAATTGTGAAAAAAGGAGTATTGGATAAAAAGAAAAACAGAAGATACCTTTTTATAATCTTTAATTATCACAGATCAACCTTGTCATATTTCATTAATACATCCATGATGAATTTCATTTGAGGAATTATTCTTTTAAAATAAAACCTGTGTATTACATTGTATACAGTTTTCATTTGAAGATTGTGTTCAGGTAAAAACCAACATATCCTAGCATTATACAGCTAGCTCCCTATACGTAAGTATATAACATTAGATATATGACTTGTGTACAAATGCTCAGTTTTTTATTTGCTTTGATGAAAGAAATGAATTTTTAACTTAGATAAATTCCGAGGATATTTTAATCTGCGGGTATGTTTGTCAACTGCTGTTTCAGTGTTATTGTATACATATAATTCATACATTACCTGGTAACCTAACAGTATATCATTCATTGTACTTAGGAGCACCTATTTAACTCATACACCGCTTAAGACACGTTTGAACTCATCCAATTCAAAGGTTGGAAGAGTTCAGTATGAAATTTCAGGAGTGAATGAGTTAAGAACTCATCATTATTTCTGCTTCGTAAAATTTGCTGATGGCCATTTGCTATATATTTTAGATTGTATGCATGTTTTCTGACGTAATCCTGAAGCGTAACGTATGAGGTCTGGAGAAAACGTAGCATACTCATCAGACCACTAGTTTGAGATTTTGTTTCTCCCATAAAATGACCCCCACCAAAGGTCACGGACTGGTATAAAGGTTTGGATTTACCACGGTACTCAGTGAAATGCAATTATTTGTGATTTATGAGAAATGCGTGAAAAAAATATAGATGACAGAATTTAATTATGCATTTTTTATTTACTAGGAGCAAGCATTGATTTCATGAATCAACAGAGACATTTTCTTTAGCTCAAATTTTCCAGGAAAACAACTGCTTATGTTAAGGAAAGATTTTTTTTGTTTAACAGGCGGGGGCCTGGAGTTGAGATTTTATTAATTCATTATTGAACTTTGTTGTCCCATATGTAACAGAAACTTCTAACATTGCGATTTTGTATCATTTGATTCAAATGTAAATGTTGTACTGATGGTAAACTAGTTATTTTATTTGGGTCCATTACCTTATAACTTAACTACATATCACGTGTTGATACACACACGGTTTACACTTTTGATCACTGTCACTCCCAGATAAGTCTCAAAATATTCTCAAGGATTTCACTTTTGATGATAATTAGGCATTTACTGCTGACCACATTTGATAATTCGTAAATGATGACATTTTTAATACGTTTGCAAATGTTCTCCTTATGGAAGAATTTTTTGAAGAAATTCAAAAAAGTGATCAAGTTGGAATTAAAAAATAAGTTTACTTTTAGTGAAAATAAAAAGGGTAGAATTTTTATAAACTTCAACATTTTTATTTTTTTTCATTTTATTCACTTTTTTTAAATGGGTCATTTTAGATTGGAAAAAAATAAAACCTGAATTTCTCATATATTACTGACACGTCTTGAGTGAATTAACTTCAAGCACTGCACTGGACTAGTATAGTTATATCACAGATACTTGATAACACAAGTAGAGACACTGAGATATACATGTATATAGGCTACTGATGTTTATTGCCTACTTCAACACATTCAAAATATTGGTGACCAATCATGAATTCCAGATTACCCCGGTAGGAGCATATTTGTACACATGGGAATTTTTGTGTTTTTGACTTTTCACAATTTTAGTGATGTGAACATTTCAGTATTGGCAATTTGGATATGTTTGTGTATGCTTTTGCAAGTTCATGATGTATAGATTGGGAAACGTGAAAATAATATTTTTTTTTAAAAGAGGAAAAAATTGTTATACAAAATTTCTGTATATACAGTGCATACTTCATAAATGCAATCTTTGATTCCTTAGATTTTTTTATTTTTTTTCTCCTTTAATTTCTCATACACAGGAGATTTAATTAAGAAATTGTGGGTCACTAATGATAACAGAATTGTGTCTATGCATCGGTAATTTGATCGGCTATTTTCTGCCTTGGCAGTTTGTATTGCATGTGACTGAGCATGAAGATTATGTACAAGAGATATTGAACAAAGATATATGTGTTACAATGCAAAGCGGTATTTGTATGTATACGTTACTGTGACAAAGTTAAATGGTCCATTGATTTTATTGATTATATATATTATACATATTTGATTGATTATAGTTGAAAATTTCTTATGTTGAAAGCAATAAATTATCTATTTTTACCATCACTTATTTTTGCTGTGTTCATTTCATTAAAGTGTACCCTGAACGAAAATAGTAATGAATACATTATTATATACTCTATATGATCCAAAAAAATGCAGAAAAATTGATAAGCCCAATGCCGAGATATTGATGTGTAAAGTGAACAATTTTCACCTGTCCTTCTACTAATTAGCATAATCGTTACTTCCAGTTAGTGGAAAGCTTTTTGGCTGTGATATCAGAAATTCAACAACTAGCAACCACCATGGAAGGAATATTCGGGAGTGAGCAGTCATAAAACATTAGATTATGACTAAAGGTGGTAGTTTATTTATACCTAATTGCCTGGTCCAATAGACAAATACATTAATAGGTCCTACGGCATTGTGCATCATCTAGTCATCAGTTGTTTTCAGAACAGTTTTCCAGAGTGTACATCACCGTTTTGACGCAATATAGAAGTTAAGGTAATGACCTGAACGTGTGGTTGTCATGTCCCATCAGTCTCAAAAACTGCCTTAAAATCCCGATCAGATTTGGTCTTAACGATCATCCCTACACAATATATCAGTCAGTGCTCAGTTGTTCAAAAGGAAATAATTAGCTTAATCACTGTTTAACAACATTTTTCAACCTCTAATAATTTTGTCAATATACAAGGTAAAAGCTTGTAGTTTTGTATGTAATTTTACTCTTCTTAAATATTTGTTACCTGGAAAGTTTTAACTTGGTTAATAGCTGTGTTTTAAAGATACACAATAAATAAAATTTGCACCAAACACTGATAATGCTGATCACTGTTTGAACAACTAGACTCTGGTCCCAATTGCTACAAAGATTGGTTAGAGATAACCAGTTGTTAAAGATCTTTTTAAAATATAAACACAACAAAATCAAGAACATCTAATATCATTTCTAAGATTGATGTTTTTTAAGGTTTTATTTCGCTTTGAAAACTGTTGCCTTTTTCTTGAAAACAAGTTGAATATCACTACCCACTGGTTAACAAAAACCAAACTGTTGAGCAACTGGGGCCTGTTCAACATTCAAAAACAATTTCTTTTTGTATGTCTGAATGAATAATGAAAATACCTTTTCTAAGATGGAAACAATTTTATTTTGCACAATATATACAGTAATGTACACGAATGATCTTCATTTTCAGAAAATAAACATTTACATGTACTTCCATCTTGAAGACAGCATTCATTTTCAAATTGTGAATTATGTACTGCAGCTGTGTGGACGTCATGGATCCCGCCAACTGACAACTTGAAAACTTGTGAAATACTTGTATGCTCATTGCATAAAACATATCTTACTAGCATTAAAACATAATGTTTTGTACAAAACAAAAACTTAATAGAACGAAAAAAGGGTAACCAAATGAAAGCCTTACCAGGGTGAAAAATTTCATAATCTGAATACAAGCCAACAGGTTGATTTGAAAAGTTTGACTTACCCAACCTTTATTTTTTTAGAAAATATTTTTAAAAATGTTCACCAGTCCCAATATTGAATCTACAAGCCCGGGCATTAGGCTAATAGAATTGTACACCCTTGATTTGAATTTAAAACCATTTTACATGAACTCCGTTGAAATGAGAGAGAAAAAACAGTGTATGAGGAAATATAACAGTATCAACCAGAATCTTAAAGTGATGTTTGAACATTCATTACAAATTAATTGTATTCCCTCATAAAATAATGAGTTCTTTTTAGAATCATTTAATAAATCGTTACCTGTACATTCTTTTAATGAAATAACAAACAATATTTCTTTTTTTATCCCTTGTGTGTAGATTAAAAATAATGTTAATACATTACTTATTATTTAGTTTTGCTCTGTACAATCATTATTATATCACAGTCTGTAACAATATCACACCGATAGACTTAATTACAATATAATAACTTATATAATAATTTATATAAGCATTTTGCTACAATTTTTTTATATATATATTTGTAGCCTTAAATGGACAAATCGTTACATCACAATCCTTGGATGGTTCATGTAGACCACTACCGGTATCTACACTATATTAGAAATATGTATTTTCTTTTCAAACGATCTTCGACAATTTAATATTTAACTTAATCAAATATGCATGTTTTTGACCAAAGCATATTTTCCAGATTAAAATATGCTTTCACATTCGTGATATAAATAAGAGATCTTATGAAACAAAACAGGAGTCTTTTTCATGAATTTTATATTCGGTATAAAATTTTCATTCAAAGTTTATCTCCATAGATATATAACACAATAGTAATTGTAAACTGGTAGATTCACCTCCAATACACCCAATCAAACTTGGTAAAAAAGGGCAGTATTTTTTCTTTGGTAATTTACCCCTGGTGCACAGAATTAAGGCTGTATGCTACCTCGCTACAAAATACATTTCCTTTACAAAAGAGTTCAAAACCTTATATGAAACCTATCATTTACAATGTTATTTATAATTACAATTACGTTTTCATTAATCAATCTAGGATACAATTAAAAGCTACATACATTGATGAAACTATTTATAGTTATAATTTTGACTTCATTAACTAATTTGTGATACAATTAAAAGTTACATACATAAATGAAACTGGAGGGTTTTTTTTCATTATAATATATGTTACTATACTTAAACTGTCTAAGGGAGATTACTCTTGTACAATTGCATCTAAAAGATGTAAGGTAGCATATAGCCTTAACTCACCTCAATATTACCTTGGTAAACAGATTTAAGGATTATCATCTGGAAATAAGCACTTTCTGAATTTAAGTTCATTTTCAAAAACTAGTCTTCAAAAGTGAATGTACTTCAAGCTTAAGGCCCCCTGAGGTTTTTACAGGGACAACACAGAGTGACCAACTCACAAAACAAAACAAAAAAGACAGAAAGGCTAACGTTTAACATTTATTTAACTATGATACAAAGTTTATATTGTCCATCTGAAAGGGTTTTAGAAATAAATTTTATGCAGAAAATGTCAACTTCCTTTAGAGATGACCACACACTCTAAAAATCTTCAGATCCATTTTCTCGAAATTAATTTCGCTCTTCACTGCAGTCATTACTGTTAATGAGCCAACAAATGATTAAATTTCAATAAAAACCAAAATATATTTGTCTTCCTCTCCACCTCTAGCAACTAAATAATTATTATCTGGTTTAAAAAGAAATCTCAATTGTTATATCATTTATAAAATCATTCTAGTTTTCATTCCATGACATGATTTTTATCTTATATATAAAAGCATCAGATTGTTAAATATTTTAATAATGATTCAAACAAATTTTGTTTTTCATTATCAACTTGAATGCAATAAGTAAATATATATTTAGTCAATCATGATGTCTACACCTGAGCTATCGCATCACAGTGTAATATTTAAAAAAGAGTACATTTCTATACATCAATGAATAAGCTCCATATTCATTAAAAAAATAAAATTAATGTGGAAATTCTTTTATACCAGCAATTTGAATGAAAAAAAAATATGGGTTAATCTCTTAAAAAGGTGATGTTTAGGTTGAAATAAATTTTGTTTCTGATTACATTAAAAGTAACAAAATTGTCTTTTTCAAGTTAATACCTTTCCACAGCATGTTGGATCAAATGTGTAGGTCAAAATTGAAGATTTGTTTATGGGAAAGCTCTTTATAGAATAACACTATATCAGAAAGACTTCCATACAAGGCAGATATTGTCAACAGATTTTGGTGACATCTTCTCTTTAATTGGAATATTCCTTATTTTACCGGGTAATAGAAAAGATCTTTAACGAATGTTTCATGTTGACTTTTTAATAACATCCCATTCGCCATTGATAATCCGTTAAAAAAATACATGCATTTAGATTTACATATGTACATGTATAATAATTTACATTTCAAAAAACTTGGATTGGCCGATTTCATTTGTTCTTCGTAGAAGGCAAATACAGATTGAAAACCTTCTACATATATCATAAAATTCAAACATAAAAATGGACCAATAATTCAAATTTGATCTGTTTGAAATATTTGTCAAGATAATGTATAAGAGATTTGGCTACCAATCAATGACGGCTTTGCTGAGCACTCCGAGCCGCCATTGCTCTACGCATCGGGTGAAGTTTGTCATATTCCGGACTGTCCAGACAGTCCTTAAGACGAGCCTGGTACTCTCGTTCTGCTTGCATGCCCAGGATAAATTCCTCATCCTCACGTTGAAATTCAAGTTCGCGGAGTTGGTTGTTGTACGTGATTTGACCGCGAAGATCCTGTTGGTATGAACGATTTTTATTCCAGTTCTTTTCCATCTTCTGTTGTTCAAGAATCTTATTTTCTTCAATCGTTCGTAGAAGTTCTTGACGTTCCATTTCAGCTTCTCTCTGTTTTCGGTCATTGGTCATCACTGAAAAATAATAATAAAGTCATGCTGTTGTTGTTTTTAAGATTAAAAGAAAAAAAGTTGTTAATTTCAACTTTCAAACTTAAAATCAGACCATTTATTAATTGTAAACTTTTTTAAATGTGACATTTCTGTTTCAAATCTGCGGTAGATCTCACTATTGAAAAGAAAAACACAAAATATTACCTTATCTAATTATTTTTGTAAAAGTTTGTTTGCAACCCTGATCAAATCAAGTGTCATTATAGTTACAATACATTTACATCTAACTTGCTATTTAGCAGTATTATCCATTGCAAAACTGACATGATAATGAGGAAATCTATGTTCAAGAAATTTATTTCTCGTAAAATGTACACACAATGCTTTGAAATATAAGAACATAATTTTCAAAATTGGCTTAGTTTGAATTTAAATGACAGTTTCAATTTCAAATAACTAGAAGAAAACAAAAATGAAAAATGCTTTTAAAAAAACTGAAACGCCTTAATACCTTGAAAATCAAAAGTTTACAACAAGTTTCCTTGAGTGAACAACTTTTACAAGTCTGGTGATATTTGCCTTTTGATCGAGATATTGGAGGTAGAAAAAAACTTACGTCTATCCTGGATTTGTTGAGCTCTGACATGAAGAACATCTTCCATTAACTTCTTGCGTGCCTGTCTCTCCAATCGCCATTGGTCGAGTCGTTTTTGCCACATTTTCTCGACCTCCTCATTGATGAGTCGCTCAAGTTCGACCTCCTTTACCTTCTCCTCCTCCATCAAGTTACGCAAATATTCACGATAACGTTTATCCTCCTCTCGCAGTTCTCTCTGGGAAAAAAAGAAATAAATACCTTGATGACAGTTGTTAATGAAAATAGAGTAAAAAGTCATAAGTTTTCATTACTAAAGAAAGTTATAAAACCAATACCAATAAATAAAAAAAATAAAAAAAAATTGCAATAAAAAACGAACTACAATCTAAAATCTTTTTCTTTTTTTCACCTGAGAAAATGTAAATAAAAGACTGCAATCATCCTTAAATAGGAATAAAGTTGCACTTCAATCTCATTACCCCCATGTAAACCTAACGGGCTCGGACAGAGTCTATCGTATTTAACATTGTATGAAAGTGTCATATATATAATAAAGCAATTATTAGCTTCTGGCCACAAAATAATTATTTTCCAAAGGTTGATAAATCATTGTATGGACCTCAAGAGACATGAATAATTGTATAATGATAATTGTACTTTTACACATAAAAGGCAGACACATAAAGGACAAGTGAGTTTTAGTCCACAATAAACAATGTTACATACATCATAACACCTTGTTATACTGCCAAAAAGGCACCTTGAAACTTGTCGGTAACGGAGGTGGCCAATACACCAGGGGCATTATATCGAGGGTTTATTGTAGTTACCTTTCGTTGGAGCTGTTCCATGGCCTCATTCCTAGATTCCTCCAGAAGTTGCTCAAGGATCTTGAGGTCAAAGGCCAACTGTTCCTGTTCTGCCTTGGCCCTCTTCTTCATCTTCAGTTTGAGAGACAAATCTAACATGTCTCGTGTTTCTTGTTGTAATCGGAGCTTTTCCTCGCGATTTCTCTGTTCCTCCAGCTGTCTCAGAGCCGCCTGTTCCCTCTGTAAACAAATAAAATCTCATAGAAATACTTTGCAAGAAGAACAATGTATATCCGAACATTCTTGGTATCATTTTAAAATCTGTTAAATTCTCTTTCCTGGGTCTGTAATTCCACTTGAAAACTTGAAATTAACCCTTAGGCTGCTACATTGATTTCTATACATGTAAAGGGACATTCTTGCTTCCCAGAACCCAGCTCTGGCATTAGTTTCCAATTTTAAAATGACAACTGGATTTATAAATCAAATCGAAATTTCATATTTTGCCACTCAAACACAAATTCTCTGGATCTTTTATGGAAATATTTTCAAAACATTTAGTGTCTTTATATCAAATTTTAATCTAATGTATCATAAATCTAGTAAACAAAATGTTGAAGATCTTAAATTCATTAATGCTTACCAACAACTGGGCTTCCTCTTCCTTCAGTCTGAGGGCTGTTTCTTTCTTCTCCTCCAGGGAGGCCATTTGTGTCCTGAGTGTACTCAGAGTTTCTATGTTCCTCTCCTGTGCTGCCTTTGCATCTCGTTCTTCCCTATCTGCCTTCTTCTGTCTGTCTTCCTCCCACAGTCTGGCATACATTTGATCCTCTTCCATCCTCTCTCTATCCATCACATCCTTAATCTTGAGCTGTTCAAGTCTCTCGGCACATACTTCATCCTGCTGACGTTTGGACAGTGTTGACCTCAGCTCCTCACACTGGTTTCTACAAATAGCATTTATTGAAATAAGTATTTGCCATAAATTTGGAAGCAGTTGTTGAACACACCTTAACATTTATATAATATAGAATGAACATTTCTCTGATTTTTTTATTAATAAGTTTATTTTATCTTAAAGTACAATGCACAGCGACAGCTTGAGTCAGAGCAATTAAGGTCTTTAGTGGGTTGTTTTTCTCTGATTGATGAAATTTGGCAACTTCTTATCAATTGTAAATAATTCTTTGTAATAAAAAAATATATCTTATACATATAGGTGTGATAGCACGATTAAGAAGAAAGAAAATATTCTAAAACCCTAATGTTTTGCTCTTTAATTTCGCAGAACACAAAATTGTTCTTTATTTTCTAGTGTTTTTTTGTTGTTATTATTACTGTGGTTTTTGAGTGGTGTTTTTTTGGGGGAGGGTTTTTTTCTCCAAAAAAACCCACAATTCTTTGACATCAAATAGAAGGAATTCATTAAAAAAAAACACTTTATTTTCACTATGCGTCTTCTCTCAAAACAATGGAAAGATTATATTTAAGGAGGTTTTATGAAATATGGAATGAACAACTTACATGTTGTTCTATACAATGTTGTATTTTAGTAATTACAAGATTTTTACCTGAACTGTTGGTCATATTTTTCCTGTACATATTCCAGCCGCTCTGATTCCCGCCTGTCCTTTAAGTATTTTGCCCGTTCTCTCATTTTGGCTTGTCTCTCTAATACTGTTTCCTCTTTTTCGTCCATTTCACGTAAATAGGCTGCTTCTTCTTGTTGGAGCATGGTTCTTAACCTAGCAACAGAGATATTTATTGAACATCAGAATAAAGTCAATCTAAAGAATGTTTCCGGCTACTGACTTTCTAATTATTGATTTGCACTTTTGACATTCATTAACATTTTTTTTGGTCTAAATTCCAAACCTAGTTATTCATTAGAACTGTCTTTATAACATACGGTAAAACCCCGATACAACGCCTGTCATTTATCACTTAACAGTAAAACCTTGATATACTGCCCCTCCATCATTTCAGTCTCCACCTCATCTTTACTGCCAACACATTTCAAGTCCCTTTTTTTGTTCTGTTTTTTTTTTACATTTCATTTACGTTTCCCTCTTTATAATGCCAAACTCCATTATGATTCCAAACTTTTTCTGAACTGATGGTGGCAGTATAACAAAATTTTAAAGTAATTAAGTATTCCAACCCCCAACCCACTCCCCAAGATAATACTGATTATATTACATCAGTCCAGTGCTCTGCTAATTGTAAGCAGTATTGCAAAACAATTGTTAAAGTCGGTAGACTAAACACATATGATACATACAGTAATCCTTGTAATATTGCCACCATTTTTCCAGTGAAAGTTTGGTATTATAAAAGGACTTAGCAGAATAAAGACGGAAACATATTTATAAATGATATGTTACAATAGAGGGAAAATCAGACAGTGAGAAGTAGATTAGATTTCTCTATTTAAACACTGACAGTGGTATAATATTTTATTTGCATTTTGAGTCTAAGTTCTGTATCAAACCTGTTTCTATGCTTGAAAAGACATTTGATGCTAATTTTATTTTATAATTAACTGGCATAGGGTAGTTAACTCTCTAACAATTTAATCAGAAATTAATTGTGTGGCATTATGGATTTCAAATGGCTGTGCAGGAAATTCTTGTTTGTTTTAATTTTGACATTTCAGGTTACCTTCTTCAGTAAAACTTGACCCTCTAAAGTAAATTAGAGGTCACCATGACACTAGGACAGCTTTAAACCAATTGTCTGAACATTCTTGACTGAGTTGCAATTGTAACAGTTATAAGGAATTGGTGGCAATGCTGGGACTCTGGGTGATCAGGTAAGGCCAGTTCCCAGGGTTAAAGAAGGTGCATTGATAAACAGGGAGGACTGGATTCCTTAGGCCAACTCTCAGGACAGATAAGAAAACTAATGCGGTACAACCCGGGGACGCGGTCACTAGTTCAGCACCATAGAGCGTGGTCAGTAGTTGGATGGGTGACCGCCCGCACATTACAATTGGTACCATCGAACTACTGACCACGCTCGATGTGCTGAACTAGTGAGCGGGTCCCCGGGTCATACCACATCACTGAAAAAGCTAGCTTGACAGTAAGGCAGTATTTTCCCCCTCAAATTCCTTAGTTGTTACACAATCAGTCGGCTAGGCTTAAACAGACAAGTTTAGGCACTATAGTATGGATTAAGTTTCAGACCAGAGAAGAAAAGTCACTTGTTATTTCAAATGAATTGGCCTGTAGAAATATGATATGGTCTGTAATAATCCAAATGTAGCCTTACCTTTCCCTTCGGTCTTCTACATTAAACTGGTTAGCTAACATTAGACCATCAACTCTTCGCATGGTTGTATTGATCTTGATTTTTCTGTCGGTAAATCTCTCCCATTCATTTTTCAAATCATTGAATTCCATGTACTGTGTGTTTTTCTTATACTCTTGAAGCATTTCTTCCTTCTTTCTCCTCTCTAGGATGAGGTGCTCTGGTGGACGAACATTTGGAGGCCTTGCTCGCTGTAAAATAATAATGATTTTGAAATTAAATTACATGACACATTGATAAAAGTGTGACAGGAGAGGTAAAAAAATGCACAGCTAAGGCCAACCTTGAAAATATTCTCTGTTTGGCATTGCGAGGCCGACCATTTTGATGTTTGGGTCAGTACATGTAGTTAAGATTTTTTTTATCTCCATAATAAAATGATAGGTGGTTAATACATGATGAACAACTCCAAGTTTTAAAGAAAATATTACTTAGTTAACTTTTTCCAATATAAAACACTATAATGACAAATATTCCAGTTAAATAAGCTTTTATGCCACTGTAACAGGAAATGAAAAATGCATGGCCAGAACTGGATTTGAACCCAAGACTTCCAAGCTCTAGACAGACGCTCTAACCAACTGAGGTACCTGGTTGCTGGCAATCAGCCCAGACCAGTTCCACTATATAGGAAATTCTCTACACCATAAAGAATAGAATTATCTCTAACATTACATTACCAAGTCTACAACTCAAATTATTTCTCGTTTCATTATCTTTATCGGTGTATTGAGACTTTGACTCCAAGCATGGTTCCATAATCATTGTTAAATTGTACAGCTATAATGGGGTTTTCAGCAATATGTCACCATTGATGTAAAAAAGCAATGAATGGTTTCAGAACGGTTTGCATTTCGGTGAAGGAGTAATATCGTGCTGGGGGTTGGCGGTAACCAAACGTGAAATGTTTCACCCTTTATCGTGCTATGATTAACAGTCAAAGATATTCAACTGCCAAATTTGCGACTCAACTGGAAATTTTAATAAAAAAAAATCATTTTTTCCAAACCACCTGATATTTTTATGAACAGGGCTTCAAGCCTTGACATAAATTGATGAGTGATGATTTTAAACCAGTGCTATTTACACAAACATACCAACGTCAACTTTCCATTGAATTATTGTTTGAAACAAAAAATATACTTACGATAGCGACGGAGTGAGGGGTAGGTCCAGTGAACTCCCGGGTCCTACGGGTTCTCTGTGAGACCATCATCTTCAAAGCTAACGTTTGATTTTTAGTTATATAAGACAATCTAGAGCGTAATATACGCTCGTTGTGCTGCCACAGTTATCCTCTGGTCTTAGTCTTCGATGAAATTGACCAGATATCCCTGTTCTTTTGGCCTCCCGTTGTTTACTTATTATTACTGTCAATCCATTTTGCCCAAAGTATTTACGTTTCGAAGATGTGACGTCACGTTGCCAGGAAGTCGATCCCGAGAAGTTACACGTGATTTTGGTTGTGACTTCCGGCATCCAATTCTGGCGGAGTTTTTGAATTGTTATTGAGATTCAGTGACCATCTTTGTTCGATATACATGTGTTTAGTGAAGACAGCGCGGCATCGGCGACAATGACGACGTGATCAAATCGTTGAACTTAAGTAAGGAAATGCCAACTGGTGGATACATAATGATATGCCCACAAGTAAATTGATTGTGGAAAGATGAAATGGATTTATAACCCCCCCTTTCAAGACGAGACACACCTCCCTTTCAATTTCAACAGCCCCATCCCTGATCTGGCGTGTCACTTGTTGGACTCACAAAGTGAAGTCCTATATATGTTGTTGTTTTAACACAGGATGTTGATGAAATTGTGACTTTTTGAGCACAATTAATAAAACTCAGATTTTTGTTGCGTGCCATCGATATCACATTTATTAAAAAAACAGGCCTTATTGTGGTGTTATTTCTTTTGCAAGATACTGTAATGTTGGTTCTGATTGAACTTTTCGATCAGGGACAGTAACAATAAATTTGTAAGCATGAAGTTTCAGAATTAAAATTGCAATTACAAAAATTGAATTAATTCTCTCTCCGAATCATTGATATTAATCCACAGGGGCTCTGGTTCTGGAATATATGTGATATATTATCGCACCCCCTTATACTAATAAATCATAAAGGTATATGATTTATTAGAATAAGGGGGTGCAATAATATATTCCAGAACCTGAGCACCTGCGATTTTAATTGTACATAGGATTAAGGTCGCTTTCTAGCTTCTTGCTAGAGTAATTTCCCATTAGCTCGGTGGTTGAGCATCTGACTAGGAACCTATAGGGATTGTAAGTTCGATACCCGGTGGAAGCACACTATATTCTCTTTCCTGTTATATATTACAAGGCACAAACTTCATTATCCAATAAATGGAATTACTCCTTCCTCGAACCATTCATTTATTTATTAGCTACACATGGGGTAACTGCAACCTAATTTCACTTCATTTCGGGCTGTTTTTACTAAATAAAACAAATATAATAATAATCCTCCAAAATCACAACGGACGTACACTCTACCAAATTACCAATCGAGATGCTGCTGGTCACCGATGATCGACACATGTCCAGTTCAGCTACATTCCTCCCGCCTTTTAAGTGCTTTTAATTAAAAGAATAAGTCACAAATGCTTGAAACAAGGGTTGACAATGCAAGCTCACTAGATTTGTAACAGGAGCAGAAAATGCACGGCCAGACGAGAATTTGAACCTGGGACCCTCCAAATTTAGAGAGACCAATCATGCACCTATAGCTATATTGAGCTAGGCCTGGTCACCGATGATCGACCAAGTCCAGTTCCACTACAATACTCTGTTTCTTTAACTTTAAACAACAGCAATATTTGAATTGTCATGAGTGTGCCTTTGTTTCATCATCTGGTATACCGTCTACTTGTACCAATGTAGAATAATGGAGTAATTAATATAAGCTGTTAATGATAATGTAGATGTACTTGTTTTATTCCATATAAAGTAGATATGCATTCAGTTTTAATTAAAAAGATAAGTCACAAATGCTTGAAACAAGGGATGACAATCAACTATATAATATACATATTTATCACATGTAATAAATCTGCATTTCTGTACAATTTTGTTTTTCAGTTCAGTGCAAAACACCATATTTTACTCTCGTGAATTATTGAGAGAGAAAGTTAAACTGCATTAAAATGGACGCTACATCACTAGATGGCCTGGCCGAGCACTTTCAGAAGAAGTTGGACACGGTAAACACCATCATGGACTTGAGAAGTGCAGATGAAGATGAGGGTGAAAGTTATCAGTCACAGGTGGTCAGTTTACAAACTGAACTGGACAGTCTTCAAGTGGTCATTGCCCTGATGAAGACAGAAGTCAATAAACAGACAATAAAGCTGAAGCAGACACAGGTATATAATAAATATATGTTTATACCTTTATTGATATAAAAAGTAATTTATTATCATTGAAAGCAGCAGGGCAAATGAAGAGAAATTTGACATGTATATCTGTCATGAAAATTTACGTTTAAAATTTTGAAGTAGGTAAAAGGAATTATTATATATGAAGTAAATAGGTATGGTTTGTCATGCTCTTTTCTTAAGTACTGCACACTAATTTATCTTTGGAGTAATTCCCCTTAAATTTGTTTTAAATCATATTCTGAATGTGAAAGAACACTGCTTTTAGTTCTTGGCACGAGCAAAGGGTATTAATTTGCTATTCTGGCAACAATACTATGATAGTATTGAAATTGAATTTGTTGAATATTAAATAAGGAAAAATTGAGTAATATCTATAAATCTATATACCTATATACTGAATAATTAGCAATTATTTAGCAAATTAATGCTAAATTTCAACACTTTATTAAAATCAATGTCAATATCGTATTGACAATTTTCAGCAATTCTAGAATAACACATGTTATATTTGAAGTACATACCAAACTTTATTTTGTACATTTATTCTCATTCCTGGCTGTATTTCATTCTTGTTGATTACAATGTAAATACCAATGTTGATTTGTTGACAGTCGATGAAGACAGACATGGAGACGCTCGTCTCCAATCTAAGTCATGCTGTATCTTATATACCATCGAGGATGCCAAAACCAGCTCAGAAAGAGGCTGCTGTTGAGATCAGGTAAAGCATTCCTTACATGATTAACAAAATTAATAGTTTTCTGTGATTTCACTTCCTTAGATTACATCTGTACTATAATATATACTAAGTAGATATATCCTATAATTTAGGAAATGTTCTTAATTTTTCTTCTCTTTTTTTGTAATATTCTTTAATATCTTAGGTATGGACTATTGAAGTAATTTTAGAGATTGAAAGTGTCTCATAAGTCATTGATGGCTGGAGGTTAATATTAGTTTTATGTTTAAATTTCTCAAGATACCTGTTTTAATATATGTATTAACATGTGACACTTAAATAAGATGATTGATTGATTGATTGATTGATTGATATCATAATGTTTATTTATATATAATTAACAAAATTAATAGTTTCCTGTGACTTCACTTCCTTAGATTAATCCAAACATACAGAATGTAGTTTAGTGACACATATATTTATAACAGCACAATAGTTTTCTTTGGTTAAATTTATACAACTACATTTGAGTAAATAATTTGGTGAAATAATTTTATAAAAAAAAAGTTGTATCTACCCAGTATTTTTTTTATTTTTTTTTAAGCTGATTACAGAAGCACAACATTTATTTTGTTTGGCATTTATGAATATATTGTATAAGTCATGTAAAAGAATTGATTTCTGATCATGAGGTAAAAAAAACAACTTTTTAGATTAATCCATCTTCAGAGCAGTCATTGTCAAATTTTATTTGTCTATTTCATGTCACCTGGTCAAGTTCAAACATCATCTTCTAATGAACCCTTTGTTCTAGATGTAGCATGTTGGAGTTAAGGGCCCGGGGCTATCAGTTTGGTTGAAATAAATTATCTTGATCAATGTATACATGTATTTTAGGCCAAAAAGGGGCCAAATATCAGAAAAAAAATGTCTGTTCGAAATCAAATCAAATTAAAATTATATTCCAATATGGCCTCTCTGACCTTTGATTGGTGGATATAAGCTGTTCAGGCTCAGATGTATTTTCCAGCACATTGGAACTTTATTACTATTGATACAGGGCTCAGCATTTTGTTTTTAGATTCATAATTAAACTGTGGGCTATAATTTGAAAAGTGACCCTTCCATATACAGCAGTTTTGTGTAGAAGTACAATGGTTTTCTTGAGGTAAAATCTGTTAATAGGTTTCTTGTCCAAAATGAAAAGGAACAGATGAGTGAATTTTGATATTTTGAAACTTTTTATATTTTAATTGATTATATTCTAATTCAAGCAACTTATCATTGAACCAATATCATTATATAAATTAATTGGTTCTAATTAAAAATTCACAGAGACAAGCCTGCAGTGACAACTAAAACAACTGCAGCACAGAGCAAGAAATCAACTAATCAGGGCTCCTGTAAGGAAAACCAGCCTCCACGAAAAAACCAATCAGGAGGGAAGAAACAGAAAAATGTGTATATACCAACACTGGAATATATCACAGTGGAAGATTTCGAAAATGTTCCAAAGTATGTTCTTTAGCTGTGGTAAAATTGGAAATTGATTTTATATCTGTCAGACTTATGGTCCATTTTTCTTATTTTTACAATTAAAAGCAGTTAGTAGGTCTTTATTTTATATTGATATAACAATAAAAAAAAATGGAGGAGGGGGGGCACCGTGGTTAAGACGTCTGACATTCTGCTACCACTAACCCTCCACCAAATGATGGCAGTTTCGAGGCCTGTGTGAGGCAGTCACTAGGTACTGGCCGTAGGTCAGTGGTTTTTCTGCGGATACTCCGCCTTTCCTCCACCACCACAAAAACCTGACATGCATATGTTTTAAATGACCATAGTACATAAGACAAACAAACCAAACATTTATTTTAGCCTGTCACTGTTGGTTAAAATTTTCTTGCAAAACATTTTTAGCTCACGTGGTACGAAGGACCATGGTGAGCTTATGCCATACTAGAGCGTCCGTCGTCTGTCCGTCAACTTTTCCTTTAAAACGCTACTAGTCCTGAACGGCCCAGTAGATTTTGACTAAATTTGGTCTGGAGCAAATTCTTTAAAATTCTTCTTCTTCTGTAGGAATGACAGGACTGTCCATATTTGGTGTAAAGCATCCTTTGGTGAAGTGGACATAATTTTGTATAAACGTTTGGTTTGACACCCCTTGGGGCAGAGAGACGGGCCCAATAAGGAATATAGAGAAATAGCTTTAATGTCCTTCTTCTTCTGTTGGGATGAAGGTATTTTAACCAAATTTGAACAGTAGCATCATATGAGGAATGGAAATCAATTTTGTATAAATGATGGGTTTGAACCCCCAGGAGACAGGGGCGGGGCCAAATAGAAAAATAGCTTTAAAATCCTTCTTCTATAGGAATGACAGGATTTTGACCATATTTGGTCTAAAGTGTCCTTAGGTGAAGGGGACTTAATTTTGTATCAACAATGGGTCTGATCCTGCCGGGGGCAGAGCCCAATATGGGAAACATAGCAAATTCTTCAAAATCCTCCTTTTCCTGAAGGAATGACAGGATTTTGTCCAAATGCATATTAATATAAACCCTGAGTAACCATGTAATACATGTACACTAGTCTACCAGCAACATCTGGCTATTTCAGGTTAAATTTTGCTATAATTTCTAGGTGAGCGATACAGGCCGTCTGGGCCTCTTGTTTCAGAGTTAATGTAACCCATCATTTCAAAAAAGATAGGGAACCAAATATTAAGTCCAAGCCTCAAACTTCTGCATGCACAGAAATCAATGGCTGAATATTTACACAAAGTTAGTGAGTGCGACAGATATTATCTAATATAAGATATTCTACGAATATAAGAATTGATCGTTATTTACATCTAATATAAATTTATTCTAAATTGATGTTGCTTGTAGATTACATTTGAGAATAAACTTATTCTACTGGTTATAAATAATAAACAATCATAACTCACTAGATAGTAACTCTATATATAATACACATTTTTGTATATATTTATGTCACTGGTTAGTAAATATAAACTTAATTCAGACTTCTGAACAAAGATTTCTAGCCAGTGAAATGAAAGAAATAATCAATTTTCAAGTCAATTTCTCCGGCTGAAGTAATTTGTCATCTGCATGTCTGTCTGCTGTCAGACTCTTACAGTGCAGTGAAATTAACTTAAGTATTTCTGTGACAATAAGATTGCAAACTGTGGAGAAGAAGGTTAAATGTCTGATCTTTTGAGACAGCAAGCTAAGTATCCCAATGCAACAAATCAAAATATCATTGTGACCAAACCTGCTCTCAAGACATTAGAAAACCATAACATTGAAGCTGCAGAGGCTGAAAGTTTGAAGTCACCAGGTTTTCTCTTTCTCCCTTTCATACTTTTTCTATTTCTTTTCCTTCCCTTTTTGCTTTATGGGATTTTTCTTTCTTTCTCTTCTTTCCTTTTCTCATTTCCCTTTTATCTTCTCTGTTGCTCTCCCTTTTAATGTTGTTTTTTTTTTGGGGGGGGGGGGGTGTATTGTGTTATATATTCATGTTTGTCCTTTTCTGTCACAATTCATTGTCATGAATCTACTGACTTTATTTTTTAACAAAGGTAAAGTATGAAAATGTTTCTGATAATTTTGTATTCTTGGTCAAGTTAACACAATCATCACTGTTGCCATTCATAATCCAACCATGTGACCAATGGGGTGGGGTGTTTATGTCTTAAGAGACCCTTTCTCGTCTATTTCCCTACTAATCTTTCTCTCCCTTATCTCCCTTTAGTCGTTTCAGTTGCTTCCCCTTTGTTTGTGTCAGATGTAGGATAACATAAATCCATACATCTGAGGAATGATGGAATATAAATACAATATTGCTGTTTACCAGGTACATCAAGGGACGCATGAATTACAACCAGATCAATACCATGATGGACGAAATCAACAAAGCTTACAAGGAAAAGTACAAGATCCTCTCCATGAAACGGACAACACTCAACGACGTCAACCGTAAACGTTTTGAAAAGTTCAAGTTACAGGAATCTAAAGAAACAACAGGTATACAAATATTTCTGTGATGTGTTAGATCTGGGGTCAAGTTTTTCTTAGCGATGAATTCCAGAGTTGATTTCCCCTCACTATTCAGGTACTTGCCTCCTATGTTATCAGAATTCTTCTGTCACCTATATATTGGTGATAAGAGATAGATGGTGGACAGAAACAATACTTTCAATATGACATCACAGGAACAATAAAATATGACATCATAATCAGCTTTCGACAGAAGAGGTCATGTATGTGCAAATCAGGATAAAAAGGAATAGATTCAATGCTGAAAACAATTGTTTTCCAACATTGTATTGAAACGATGGGAGAAAAAGAATCCTTATGTATGGCGATCATGATGATACACCATTGGAATCTCAACCCATGGTTTTGGATTCTTAAATGCTTGGCTTTGGACTTGAAGTGGGCCTTTGGTTAGATAATCATGAAAAAACACCTGAAGTTAAGATTTCTATCAGATCGTCAAAAATAGAAGAAGTCTAAATTGTAATTTAACAGTTGTTTTAGACAGTAGCTGTAGATTGTAAATTGAGGACGTCGAATATCACAATACATATGGTAGTCGGGCCGGTCAGATGGCGCATTGGATAGCATGTTTGACTTTCGATAAGACGGCCGGGATTCAAATCCCAAAACGGACGTGTAAAGGTATGGGGTCACCTGCCCAACCATGTGGGTATTCTCAGGGTACTACATACAGTTTCCTTCCACATCAAAGACACCCTGTGTTATCCACATCAAAGACACCCTGTGTTATCCACATCAAAGACACCCTGTGTTATCCACATCAAAGACACCCTGTGTTATCCACATCAAAGACACCCTGTGTTATCCACATCAAAGACACCCTGTGTTATCCACATCAAAGACACCCTGTGTTATCCACATCAAAGACACCCTGTGTTATAACTTTAGGCCCTACAAAAACGATTGATATAAGTTAACATAACTTGTCCAGAGTTGTTGTAAAAAAAAGTTCATATTTACATGTGATAGTTGTGATACTTTGACTACCAGTACATCGTACACCAGCACAGATGTTGTCAAACATTCACAGCCTACCATGATAACATCACATCCATTTTGTTGCTTGACTTGTTTCTTGTATTGAGGTAAACTTTGACTGTTTCATAACCATTTGTATGGTTTCAGATACCTTACTGTATTTTTTATCCCCCGCATTCACCGAAACGGGGGATATTAATTTGGGTTTGTCCGTCTGTCTGTCTATCGCTCACGCTTCGTTTCCGTGCAATAAATACAACAAATGTTAACCGAATTTCTTCAAACTTGATCACAGGGTTAAATGCCTTATAAGGGCTCGGCCATGTTCAATGACCGCTTTGATCAGACTCAATTTGGCAGAATCATTATCTGCAGTTTTCGCTTAATAACTCTAGCAAATATTAGATAAGGCTTTTTTTTCTTCAAGTTTCAAGCTATACATTATGTCTCAACAGCACGATACTCACATGTTTAAACCTAACCTCAATATGTCCTGAAAGCGGGGGATATAAACTCCACAAATTTGCTTGTTTGTTTCAGACAAATGGCTTAGTGTTTGCCTGTTTGATTTTCACACAGGATAATTATATAAGGTGATATTTGTTTTTATTTCAGGAGAGCATTTCATTGTGGATGACGATATAAAAGAGTTCTCACACATGAAGATGGACAGTGTTTACCGAAGTGTGCTGACACTTTTACGACATTGTGGTAGACTGAAGGAAATACGGGGAGGCGGACATACTCGCTACGCATGTGTGGAAATATACTGAGGGGGACCTACTCGCTTCGCATGTGTGGAAATATACTGAGGGGGACCTACTCGCTTCGCATGTGTGGAAATATACTGAGGGGGACATACTCGCTTCCCGTGTGTGGAAATATTCTGAGGCAGTCGACATAACGGTTATGCCTCATCAACGATAGCAGTTTACTGGGGATGCAGTATACTTGTTTCCTATGTGTGGATGTCAGCTATAAAATTTTACTTACGGGGTTATACATATGTCTTCTACATCGTATGTCTACATGCCATAAAACGGTAACCACACAGATGTCTGACCCAGAAAAGGGTGCATATGACAATGCAAGGTTTTTATAGTGCACGTTTTGCCTGCACAGAGATTAGCTGTGTGGAAGTATATTTTACAGAGTTTGACATCAACTTGTGTACAATGTAGTATACTTGTGTTATTAAATATAAAGATCGGAAGTGACACTTATATACAGGATCCCAGATGTATGGAAATGACTGTGGGATTCTTTTTATTGTAGGATTTACTTACAAAATGTAATATCATATTTTACACCATACTAGGTATTAAAATGAAAGACCAAACACTTTCAGTGTTTGCTTTTTCCTGCAAATTTATGACATCATCTCGTTTCCTGTGACATCACAATCAATACATGTCGTTTCAGATGATTTTGTATTACAAACCTTTTGGTGATGATGATGTTGTATTACAAACCTTTTGGTGATGATGATGTTGTATAACAAACCTTTTGGTGATGATGTTGTTACACGGAGTAGTCCAGTAACATTCCTGACTACATATCTCTCCTAGTTTTACTGAGTGTTTGTTTTGTTAATACAAATGTCCCAATCTGCTGGTGTGTTTTAAATGAGTATGAGTTTCACTTAAGGATCCCTTTCCCACTGCAGGAGGAATACAAGAGAATTTCACTGTAGTTTTTTCCACACGTAGAGTAATCTCCTCTTAAATTCATTCTGGATATAACAAGTGGAGCTGGGCCACAGTACCTCAGCTGTTGATCATTTAGCGTAGATGGTAAGAGCTACCAGATTGTAAATCCCAGCAGTCTGACCTACATGTACCAGATGTACTGCTATTTTTACTCTCAAAACACTAGTGTTGATTTTATTTGGTTTTATATTTAGTCTTCATTGTTTTCATGAAAATACTGAAAAGTATGTGTTTCTTTTTCGAGTACAGTAATATATTAACCCTTTCACCACTGTAGACCATAATGGACTCATCCATATTAATGCATGGTAGAGTCTACTCAAGTTACAAAGGGATGAAAGGGTTAAAGCCATTGTAAAATAGCTCCCAATTCATAGTTACCGTTTTTGGCAGTGGTACAGGGATCCTTAAGTGGAAGAAGTTCCATGCGATACATCACAGAAGCCAGGTCCTATGATATAAATATCTGTACTGTTTTAAAATACTGTGGGGGGCTTATTAGGGGTAAAATATGGTAAGCCCTAGCATACGAAGTAAGACTGATAGACATGGAAACTTTGTAAATTATGGTGGAAGAACTTCCATTTACTTCATATTACTCAGCTGCAACTTCATAATATTTTTTATTTTTTTCATCTCCCTCTTTGGGATTTTGGCGTAAAAATTGCAAAACTGTTGAAAGGTTGTATATATATTGTTTGTAAAGTCAGTGTAAGTTTATGACTTTTAAAGGTAGTTTTTGGCGTGTCAAAAGGATAAGTTAATGCCGCCGCATATTACTTTGATGTGTTGTCATGTTGCAAAAAGCAGCTGGCAAGATATTAAATATCTTAAGCTCAATGGACGCATATATATGCGCTAAGAATTCCAAGAATGTAAGATTTTGAAAAATGTTGTTACATGTTCTTCTTGAACTTTTACTGGGTAAGGGGAGGTAAGTCAAACTGATCTGTTGACGAAGTTTATTGAGAGTAACCCAAAATTGATCGAAAATTCATATGTATGTAAAATGAAGTACACATACGAATATTTCACTCCTATAAGTCAGAGGTAGATTTTAGATTTATTTAGTCAAGTTGACAATTATAATGAGTGTTGGGAGTACATACAATGACCATTAGCAAAAGAGAAAAACATTTAGGTAAACACACTAGTTTGATTACTTAGATACTTCAGTAGTTCACATATAATAATAATAATTCAAGGTTCTTTCACAACCTAGTTGTAGGGTGTCTCAAAGTGGTTCACAAATTATTATCCGTAGCAAATATCTTTCTCAACTCCATGTGGAGCATACAGCCAGTGCTGCCATTTCGGCGCTCAAAGCTAGCATTCAACAATTTTAGCAATGCCCAACCACGAACTCATTTACAGCTGAGTAGACCGGCACAAGCGGAGTAAAGTATCTTGCTAAAACTCAATGCCCTGCCTTGACTCGAAACCGCAACCCTTCGGTCCTACCACTAGACTACCATGCATGTGCCTCCTTCATATACATTGTATATGAATAAGAAATACATTAATTTTCTGCTGCCTATTTTCATAACTTTTCAATTCAGCCTTACAAAGTTCTGTGGTGAAGATGCATGATGTTCATATAAAAATGAAAATCATTTTAATTTTTTGCCTTCTAAAAATAATTTGCATTGAAAATAAAAAATCCCAGATCTAGGACACTAATTATCCCCTCTGTACAATATGTCTGAAGAGATGATAACACTGAGCCAGGTGGAACCTCCTTTGTGGTTGATTCAATTTTATATGTACCATATAAAAGGAAGGACACTTCAAGTTAAACAAATTGACTTTAGTTTATCACTGCTTTGTCAGAGATACTAATTTATGCAGTGGTGCCTATACCCTTTAACGAAGTTAAATGTGGTACATTGAATACACCTGTGTTCAGGTTCTTTTCAAAGCACACATTAAAATGATCTTAATAACCAAAAATGTTTTGCGATATTTGAGATAAATACGTTATTTTAAGCTGATCAATATTCCTGAAATTACATGCTAGGCAGAAATATTGGACAAATCATTTGTGAGACTGATTGAAATTTGTGAAAAATGTGACTTGATGCTGTGAGGAATTTTTCTGAAGTAATTTTCGTGAGTCTCACCTCAAATCGTTAGAAATGGCATATATGCTAATGTCTGTGTCACCAGTCTACCAAACCCGAATTAGGACTTTAGGAACCTAAATTGTATTTACATTGTAACACGGCCTCACAAAATGATATACACTTATACTGTAAATCATTGATACTCCGCCAGATAATTGTTGTCAGGCTCATTCCTGACAAGAGAATCCACGCATTCAAATATGTGCTGTTGAATCAAAATCCTCAGAATATGTCGGGAGGGGGGGATGAAGTTTAGTTTATTTGCAGAAAACAGCTGGACAGAGGCATGGAATTAATTACTGAGCGACGGCCTTTTTCATCTAATACTACATAAAGACGACAAAACATAATGACAATATTACATTGTAATAAAATACCAAGTATTTTTGTTTCATTTGATGTTCTTTTAACTTTGGACTGAAGAAAAATCCTAATTTTCAGGGGCCATCTGGTGCCTCATTAGTCGCCTCATATGAACACTCTGTGGAATTATAGCTGGCTAATGTAACTTTATTATCTCCGAATCTGCAAGGGATCAATATTGGGATATAGATATATTCATTACAGCTGTTTCAATTTCATTAAACAGACATAGTGAAACATCATCGGTAGTGACATTGGGCACCGTATGTTACTGCTCTGATGTGTCACTGAGCTCTTGGGTCTATCACAGGGACCTGAGAATTTGTAACAGCTATATATATTTGGGCCTGAACTAAGGGTTAAGATCGACTTTCGGTAAAAATCATTAAATGAGAAATCATGTTGCGTCGATCACTGCGGCCTAACGTCCAGCTGAACTATAAGTACTGTTGATGGTTGAGAATATAATGTCAATTTCCCGTTGAAATTGACACCACGTATACATGTATAAACCCACTGCATTAAGCTTTCCATAGAGGAAGCAGAATTCGAAGCAAACCCTCTATTATTCTTGGCTTATTTTTATTTTTTTAAATGTATAAAAATGTAAAAAAAAAAAAAAAAAAAAAAAAAAAAACNGAGTTACTTCAGCGTGATGCCCCTTTAACACAGACCGCTGTTGAATCTTGCGGATATTAATCAATCCGCCCACGTTTGGATGTTAAATTGGCATTTTTGTTCGATCTGTCAGAAAGCTTAAGCCGAGTGCTCAATCTTTTGGAAATAATAATCTGTGCATCTCTGATAGTTCATTCACACCGAATCAATGATTCCGTCAGCATGTTCGCAACGGGGTTGTTGTTTTCTGATGTATATGACGTCTTTCTCAAGCGCTCCTGTATCGAAACTAGGTCAATCAAAATTTCCTGATAACTAAACCTTTTTAGCAATTGGGTCGATTAGGCCTATTCACTATAAACGGAATAACACAACAAAAATGTGTCTATCTAAACGTAGATTATTTCCAAAGGACGTAAATTAGTTGGCTTTTTCATGACGCAATTTGATGTAGTAGTGTTCTCCGAATTTCAGGTGTTCTTCAAGGAGACGTACTCGAATTATTCTGAAATTCTTTGTGTCTGAAAAAATGGTTTGTCGGTCTTAGTAAACATATAATTAACCTGTTTTAAAAAGGTTAAATCCTACTGACTCGAAATATTAAATTACACATATCGGGAGCGACAAGGTGATATTTTGCTTTAAAACGAATTTGAACGTATATGATAAAACAAAATGGATTAACAGCCTCGCCAGAACATCAAAATTTTATTTCAAACTTCAATTATTTTTGTCATAAGTTCGTTTCCAGTTCAAAGAGACAAATGTATCAATTATATATGTACACCATCTTTGATAATTACACTTACAATATAAATGAGTGCCTTTCCGCAATAAACAACGGCGATTTTCGTGAACTGAAATATATGACGACAAAATGGATGACGAGATTTGCATCATGATCACATTGATTGTATGACCTTGTGTTGACGACTACTACCACATTATTTTATTGCGTAAAAATATGTTATGACTTTGTCTGCATAGAAACAAAATCTGGCTGTCTTTGTTTTACAGATTATTTTGCCTTCTTTAAAAATCAAATGGTTGTCTTTTATAGACTCACTGGTATCTGTGACAATAGCGTGTTTGGGAGGGTTCAAAATTGGGCTCCCTGGATTAAAGAACGAAAAGACATATATGTTTTATTCCATTTTACTTCTAATGTTGCTTTTTCGAGGCAAAAGGGACATGTTTTAACCGGAATGTTATAAAAGTCATAACAGCCATTGACAATATCCGCCATATCTTGACTCGTTTTCGTTCTGTAGCAAAGCATGTCTGTTTTAACATGCAGCAGACCTGCCGTGTTGAGTTTTTCGTTTCCTGATAATACAATCCATACTCAACGCCTACACGAAATTCACACAACACTCGCAAAACCTGGAATATTTCATGACAGAACAGTGAACTTGAAAACAAATTTAATATAAAAATATCCCTTCAAAAAATTCCGGAACAATACACGTTACGGCGTAGGTGATATTCAAAATACTATATTTTAAACAGTGTTTCTTCTTTTTGTTAAAATTACTCAAGATAATCATCTTTTGGCATTCTAGTTTGTGTTGAAGGTATCGGCCACAAATTAAATTTGTAATACACAAGCTGTTGATGCTTTCATTTTGTGAGCCCCCATATACAAATCCTACCACCATTTGAAGCTTGGTCGTGAAGACGGAGACACCCCTGGTATCGTAAAAGCGCATTAAGTTTCTTTAAAACTGTCTTAATCATGAGAAAGCATTAATATCCTTGATTCACAAGAACAGGCTGCATAAATGTCAATTACGGCGCAGACGTAGCGACAGCATTTATTAGGAGGAATTGGACCATTCTGCAGCTTTAGAACTTTAAAAGATATATCTTGGGCTCAGAGGAAGGAAATCAAATTTGAACTGGCACTAGGCCGATTTATTGAAGAACGTGTCACGAAATTCCCCAATAATCTACTACAATGATGAGAATCGCAAGATTAAATTGTCGGCGAAATGTAGCATACACATTATTTTCTCATATATAAGATTTAATTTGAATGTCATATTGCTTGTTTAATTTGAATGTCATATTGCTTATACAAAAAGAAATTGTTTAAAAACAGATGACATTTTCGCATATAAAAAATCTATTTATTTTTAAAACCTTGTCCAGTTACACTTACTTATATGTAGACACGACAGTACATGCACAAAATGAATCATTCCCATCTCCCGAATAAGCCACGGTTTCAATTTGTTTTTGGAAGGAATACATCGGTATGCTGTGACCGGTGAATCAACAAATCAACAAATTCAAATCTCAACGAAATTAGGTCAATAACAAGAAAAAATATGCCCATAAATTATTTTATGGAAATGTTCATGGTATTATTGAAGAGTGCTCGTCCTCTGATCCAAAAGCTTATTGGAGACTCATCAAAAGGTTAATGCAACACAATCTATACCTACTCTTGTAGATCCTGTTTCTGACAATGTGGTTACTAGTGACGAAGACAAAGCTAATTTATTAAATGTGTCATCTACACGAGCTATATTACAAAAATAGAAATACTGCGGTTCCTCTTATCGAGCCAAAAACTGACAAGAGTCTTAGGTACATTAGAGTCAATAATAATGAAATGAGAGATATTTTGCAGATATTGAAGCTTGGTAAGGCCTCGGATGAGGATGGAATCAGTCACCATATGCTAAGAAACACATCAGAAACAGTTTGTGTTCCCCTTGAAATCATTTTTAATAAGTCTTTATCGTCTGGTGTTTACCCAATATCTTGGAAAACAGCCAAAGTTATGCCACTGTTTAAAAAAGGTGACAGGCATTCTCCCTCTAAATACAGGCCAATTTCTTTTTATCTACAGTTTGAAAAGTGTTTGAGAGGGTAATTTTCAAATACTTGCATACTTATTTTATTGAAAACTCACTTTTTTATAAGCACCAGTCTGGTTTTTGCCTTGTCATTCTACTGTATATCAGCTCATTGAAATGTATCATAACATCTGTATTGTTCTAGAAGAAGAAAAACATGCATGTATGGTATTCTGAGATATTTCTAAGGTTTTTGATCGGGTTTGGCATAAGGGTTTGATGATTAAGTTAAAATCCTATGGAATTTCAGGGGAATTGTATCATTGGTTGGAAAATTACCTATTTCAGAGGCACCAGAGAGTCTTTTTGATATTTCTATTCCGACTTAGGTTTCAT